CCAGTCTCAGTCGGGTTACCGGTGTTGGTGATTTATTGAGCTCAAAAACTCAAAACAGGGTGCAAAAGAAACTAAACATGTACAAGATACTCTGGGCCTCAGCCTCCCTCCAGTTACCAGCAATGTAACAAAGAAACAGAAAACAAAAATTGCCGCTTTTCTTCCCACAGCCCTCATTAAATAGTTTAAGCCCCTACCCTCAGGCTCTCTTATTTCTGATTTCTTCTCATTAATCAGTTTTGTCCATATATTACCTCCACAAACAATTGATGTACAAAAACAAATAATTTTTACAACTTAATTCTTTTACACAGATTCATTGACTTATTCAATTACACCAAACTGGGTTTGAACCCAGCAAAGACGCAGCCAGACTGAAGATGACAAGTCCCCGTAGCATAAACACGTACACACCCACACCCCCCCCCCCCCCCCCACACACACACACACACACACACACACACACACACACGGCTAACCCCACTGAAATATTAAGTGTGCACCCTCAATACGCCAGCAGGTAACCAGGACAGCTTGTGTGTTTTAAGTTCATGGAGCTACTGGGCTCAGCGCGAGTGTATTGGTCCTCACAAACACAGTATAACAGGAATGTGTGTGTGGCGCGCAAAGTTAGAGAGGTTGTTTTAAGCGACGAGGTGGATTCGTCACAGTCACAATAACCATGACAGGAAATGTTCATATCCTACAACAGGGATGTTCTTCTGGCAAACGGGTAGATAAATAAGGATCTCACCGAATTTGGTGGAAGCTGCATCTCGTTCGTTACATTCGCCATCTTCCCTCTAATTGTCTGCACCTGCGCTTGGGTGCAGAAGCCTGTTAAAGCGCAGTATTTTCAGCGCCCCAAGACCATAAAGTTCCGAGACGCTGATTGGCCATTAAATTCACCTAGCAATAGTACATGATTGACAGATTCTCTGCAAATGTGGGTCAGTCTGATCACAGCCCCCAGAACAGAGACGGTAGGAGTCTGTCTGTGGAAATCCACAAATTAATGACAGTAGATAGGGAAATGTAGTTTATATAATTTGTTTTGCTTATAGGTACACAGAAACAAGAACCCCAGAGTCAATCTAGACTGTTCCAACAGGAATGAGCGCAAAAAACATATTTTCTAAATAAAGACTAACTATACTTTCCTACAGCCTTTGCTAACAAATAGACGCAGATATTTAAACATCCATGCTGTCTAAATTAAAGGTATAGTGATCAAAATTCTTTCAGTTTGAGGTCTGGGGTGAACACACAGGAAAAAATCGAAATCTAGATAAGTCATTTTTTCTTGTATAAACGAGGTAAAAAGAGAGATTTTGCAAAAGGAACAAGACTATTTACATTTAAAATAAGAAAACACAATTACATTGTCTTATTTCAAGTGCATGTTATCTAATTATCTTATTTCAAGAGTAAAAATACTAATTCCATTGGCAAACTATCTCATTTATCTACTCAAATTAAGGGTAAATACACGTAATTTAAGACATTTCTACTTATTTCTAGGTTTTTTTCCCAGTGCATCTTTTATACACTGCAAAAACAATCTAGAAATAAGTAAAAATGTGCTAAATTAAGGGTGTGTAACGTTAATTTAAGTAGATAAATAAGATGATCTGCCAATGGATTAAGTATTTTTGATCTTAGAATAAGATAATTAGATAATATGCACTGGAAATAAGACAATGCAATTGTGTTTTCTTATTTTGAGTGTAAATTGTCTCGTTCTATCGGCAAAATGTCTCTTTTACCTCCTCAGTTCAAGAACAAATAAACTTATTTTAAAGCTACAGTGTGTAATAATTACAGGGCTATACAGTCAGAAATGTAATATATTATACATAACTATGTTATTTATCATCATCTACGAGCTCAGCCTCTTAACCTTAATATTTGCGTTGCCTTAGAATTCGTTATTTATAATTACATAGGAGCAGAGATGGGAAGTAACGAAGTACAAATACTTTGTTACTGTACTCAAGTAGATTTTTCTGATATTTTTACTTTACTTTACTACTTATTTTTATTGCGACTTTTTACTTCTACTCCTTACATTTTTACACAAATATCTGTACTTTCTACTCCTTACATTTTAAAAAATTGTCTCGTTACTTTAGTTTTGAATCATTTCAATGGAGTTACCGTTATTATTTTTCACGTCATCAATACCAAATTCAATCTAATTGGATGGGAATCTACGTTGCATTTGACGCACCACTACAAGATGAATCGACAGATTCGGCGGTATTCATTGGCGGCAAATCATTGCAGCTTGGTGGCGGTGGCGTTAGCATAGTAGCATGGACGACGAGATGATTGAAAATGAACACAACGGAGATCTAGTCCTATTGGCAGACATCCATTTAAAATGTAGGCAACGGCATGAAAAAAGTGGTTTGTACTTTTACTTTTATACTTTAAGTAAATTTACAAGCCTGTACTTTGTTACTTTTACTTGAGTAAAGAAGTTTAATCAGTACTTCCACTTTTACCAGAGTATTTTTTAACACAAGTATCTGTACTTTTACTCAAGTACGGAAAGTGAGTACTTTTGCCATCTCTGCATAGGAGCGGGTCTCGCAGCCATGGAGGCAGACATCTTTGCGCTACGGCAGCGCAGAGCCAACAAACTAGCGATTGCCAGATCGCCCATTACACTCGAAAGTAACTACGGCAAGTTGAGAGAGATGAACTGAGACGGTACTGAACAATAGATGGCAGTATTAAAATTATCTATGTAAACAAACCTCATCACTTGAGAAGGTAGGTGATGCGGACGTCATGGAAGACATTTTGTCCCGTAACGCTCACCGTACTGTTGGGGGGGAGAAGCGGTGGGGGGGGAGATGTTCATGTTGCTGCGGTCTGCAGTCTGACCGCTAGATGTCGCTGAAAATTACACACTGTAGCTTTAAGAAAAAATGACTTATCTAGATTTCACATTTTTCCAGTGTATTGTCATTACCTAATAATCATCCTGCAAAAAATGTGTATTTAAATGTACTAATATCCACATTTAACGAATGCTTAAGTTGTTATTAAAGTAGTTATTTATCTATGATTTGACCAAAGACTCCTACACTGCAAAAACGATCTAGAAATAGGTAAAAAAATTCTTAAATTAAGTGTGTTCACCCTTAATTTGAGTAGGTTAATGAGATAGTTTACCAATCGAATGAGTAATTTTACTCTTAAATTAAGATAATCAGATAATATGCACTTGAAATAAGACAATGCAATTGTTTTTTCTTATTTTAAGTGTAAATTGTCTTGTTCCATTGGCAAAATGTCTCTTTTACCTCCACAATTCAAGAACAAATAAACTTATTTTAAGAAAAAATTACTTATCTAGATTTAGATTTTTTGCAGTGTAGATGACTTGCAGAGACACATCATTTTATATTTACCCCAAATAATTCAAAATTTTATTCTGAAAAGAGCAGGAATTCTGTATTTATCATCTTTAAAGTTAGTATATTGATGTGGATAATTAGCCACAGTGTTTCTGTTGTAAAGTAATTGTTCATATATGAAAAATGTAAATGTTTAATAAGTTTGAACGTTTCCCTTCAGAGTATTACTGCTGCCACTGTCTTTATTTAGGGGGAAAAATGGTACGGGGGGCCCTGGCCCCCCATCTAGCTGCGCCCCTGCTTCTTTGGTGGAAAGCTGCCACATGGAGGCGCTCTGGAGGTTTCTCTGTTCAGTTCAGAACGTTTCCGCTTCTCTCCTGTTATTTTCTAACAAATCTCAGCTCCTCTGTTTCCATCCTTTCCTTCCTGTTTTCATCCTATCAGCTGCAGCTCCACAGGAACTCTTTATGGAAATGGCTCATTGGAGCAGGCCAAGTGTTTCCCATCAGTAGCTCTATGCAGTAATAATCCCCCCCCCCCTGCATTAACCAGGGGGTCTAATTCACCTTAAACGTGCTGCAGCCTGGGAGCAGAGAACGCCTCCATTAAATGAAGATAATCCTCAGCTCAGTTACCGGCAGCCTGCTGATGCACCTTTTATCTATTTTTGTCTTCATTTAATCTACCGTTTATATCAATGAAATAAAATAAAAAAAAACGGAAGATTAGTTTTATGATCAATCCGGATGAATCCTAATCAGATTCAAATGAAGATGAATAAAAACACAAAGGCAACCAAAAGGCCTTATAGTGGAGAAGATCTGAATCTAACTGATACTTAAAGAGATAAAACAATCATATCAGCTTATTTTCATCTTTGAACACAGATGTTTTAAGAACATTACTTTCTGAACAATGATACAAACTGACATTTTTCCTTTACTGCTAACTTCTGAATGAATTATATTCATAAAATGAGTGATAATAATAATAATCAGAAATATAAATAAAAGAGTTCATTATTAGCTTTACATTTAACAGATATATGTGTGATTTTATTATTATTTTATTTCATAAAATCTTTGAATAAAACATACATTTAAAATGGTAATACTCTCATTAAGGAAAATAATTAAATCAAAATGTATGACTGATTGTTCAATTTGTTGCCTTTATTGATCCCACAGTGGAGAAATGTATTCCTTACATCAGATCAAATAATCAAAAAGAGTAGCAGAACGGTAGATATATATGAATATATAGATGTTGCACAGGTAATTTACATGGGTATTTATACGTATGTTGGTCTTTTTCCGGTCTTTTTGTTCCACGGGTGTTTTCCATGCTGCTTTGGATTACCTGAAGTAGACACTTGCTCTACTTTTAAACAGTAAACATCAGATTAGACATTCTTTACTGATTTTAGGCAAAGCAAGTTCACAGAAAATTGAAATTGCTGCACATGAAAAAAACTGAGAAATATGCATTGCAGTGGTTTAACGGTAAATAGATGATTAATAAACCTAAAATAAACAACTTCTATTCAACTAAAATCCTTTTAGTGTTGTGATTCAAACTCCCGTCCACTGGAGGTCCTGCAGGCTGCCCACAAAACACGACCGGAAGCTGAGAAGGTAACCCGGAGAAAGTACACAAAGCTGTTTGTAGCCGCGGCATGTAGCCGCGGTGTTTCAGTCCAGCACAACCCAGAACCGGACCCGAGTGTTTTACCCGCGGTCCTTTTTAACCTTTTATTATTTCATAAACTGACAGAAGGCCGTTTGCAGACATGGGAGTCCCGGCTTTTTTCCGCTGGCTGAGCCGGAAGTACCCGTCCATCATTGTTCACTGTGTGGAGGAGAAGGTGAGCTAGCAGAGTTAGCATGGGAAATAATCCGGGTTACACTTCTGTAACTGCGTGGAGAGAAACGCTTTAATGATTTCAAGAATTATAAACCGGGATTGGTAAATATAAAGCGGGATTAAGCGGATATAAATGAACAGGATCTTAAACATGGAGAGGATCTTTAAACATGGAGAGGATCTTTAAACACTGTTAAAATACATGTTTAGCAAAACCCAGCCTTATTTAAAGGAGCCTTAAAACAGCTAAAATTAACAGTGTTTTTAACAGAAACCAACTTTAGACACAAGACAGAATTTATAATACAAAATAAATCTTATTAAATGTTGTTTTCCAGATTAATGGACAGTAAAGTGGAACCTTTTATAAAAAAAAGTCCCCAAAATTAACTAGAAACTGAACAATAATTCAATATATGCTCTGTCTCGAGCTGCAACTAACCACCATTTTCCAAATCGACTCTTCAGCAATCCCTCACACTAAGCATGCTTGTAGCAACAGTGGAGAGGAAAAACTCCCTTTGAACAGGAAGAAACCTCCAGCAGAACCAGGCTCAGTGTGAGCGGCCATCTGCTGAGGCCCACTGGGGTTCAAGGAGACAGAAGCAGACATAGAAATAGATAATAAGGAATGCAAAACATAAAACTCTGTCTACCAGGGATGCAACTAGAAATTGTTTTACAGATTGATTAATCTGTGGATTATTATTTTGATTAATCAATAAATAATCAGACATCCAAAGGTTCCTTAAAGAATGGATGGAAAGCTTTTATCTTAAATGCAAAATTATTTTATATATATATATTTGGGCTGAAACAACGAATCGATAAAAATCGACTTTTAAAAGCGTGGGCAACGAATTTCATCATCGATTAGTTGTGTCTCGCGATTAATGCGTCATCCGCTGCTGCCATCATCACTGCAACGGGGGAAGAAAAAAAAATTACGGCAAAGCGAGCCAGCACCGCAGGTGCGCAGTGTTGCCAACTCAGCGACTTTGTCGCTATATTTAGCGACTTTTCAGACCCCTCCAGCGACTATTTAAAAAAAAGTGACTAGCGACAAATCTGGCGACTTTTTACGGTGTCACTGGCGGCTTTTGGAGACTCTAACGTGAAAGCATGTGTTGTTCCTACTCTGCCGTGGGGCGCCTCCCCCATCCCAACCCCGCTTTCCCGCAGGAGTCCCTCTCAGCGCTGCAGTCAGAGCCGCAGGATGTTTCAGCATCCAGACTGCAAATGAAGCGCGCATGCGCCGGGATTGACGGCGCAAATTGATCACAATAATTAAAATAGCCTTTATAAATAAATTAACTTGCAAATTATGAGGGCAAGGCTTTTAAAGTTTAAATCTTCTGGCAAAGATAAAGTAAAGAAGATCCTGCAATTTATGGAAGTAAAGCAGAATAAAATCCAGCAAGATCAGTAATATGTCAATTAATTATCTGCCACATTTCCATGTAAATATCTGTCTTTGGAGGATGTGTTTTTTAGCACCCCTAGTTCTCTCATTTTTATTCCAAATACAATTTATAATTTGAATCACAGGGCTATTTTTATCTCTATGGTTCAGTATTTTCTCAAGTAGCAACTTTAACTGCTATACTTTCCTGTCTTAAAAGGCAGAACTCTTCTAGTCTAAAAAAACTCAGTTGTTGAAATGGGGGGGCCTATTGTTTGAACCCCTTAGGGGCTTTAAAAACAAAAATGTCTTTTTTTGCGCTTTATGAAACAAAGCCTATATTTTGTGGATGTACAGCTACATTTCTCATGTAAGTTTGCGTAGTTTTAACACAAACATTTATTTTTCATATTGCACCAGTACAGTTAATGAGCAACCTGTACTTGTGTGCTTGTTTGTTCTGTCTAAAATGTTTATTTTGGAATAGAGGTTAATATAAAAAAATATTTTTTGTCCGATTCATCGAAAAAAATAATCGGCCGATTCATCGATTTTTAAATTAATCGTTAGTTGCAGCCCTAGTTTAAAGTTTAGGTCCGTTTTAAGGAGATGTTCTATTTTTTCTCCCAGTTATTTCAAACTGACTTTCACCTCTGAAGTGGTCTGATTAATTAAGACTCGTTCCTTCAAGTTGGCTCTGCAGACTGTTTGGAAAAAGGAGCCGCTTCTTTCCTCTGGTCTGTCTCCTGTGATCCCAGTAAACACAGATCAGCTGCTAAAGACCATTAATCACTCCATCATCCACACTCCTGCCTGGTTCAATTTTGATTTCAGAGCAGATGATTGAACCAGTCTAGATGTAATTGTTGCATTTATGCTTATTGTAAATCGTTCTATAATTTCCTTTCCTTTTTCTAAGGTAATTGTCTGATTAGAATTAATTTCAGTTGTATTTGTCTTCTATTAAATGATCCAGAACATAGGAATGTGCCTTTATTTTGAAGTTAAGGTCTTGTCTGACTGCGGGCGGAAGACGCATTCAGGTGGTTATGGAGGATGTTTTGCTAGCTCAAGGATAAAGACCTTTACGTTTAATAAAGACTTTGGATAATTCCCTTTTTTCTTGCAGTATGTCGCCAACGAGGTATTTTATTGGTATATTTATTATTTTATATTCGCTGCAAGTTATTTGTCACATTAATGTTTGCTTGTCAACATTATTTCGTTTTCATGGTGGATTTGGAAAAACCAACAGCAACTTTGATTAAACCAGGAAAGAGAACCACTTTAGTCGCCTTGTGCTTGGAGGGAATTACACTTATTGCTTCTAAAAACCATTTGTTTAAATTTTTTCCCCCACAGGGCAGAGAGTGTAATGGTGTCCGTGTCCCGGTGGATACGACCAAGCCCAACCCCAACGAGGTGGAGTTTGATAACCTGTATTTGGACATGAATGGGATCATCCACCCGTGTACGCATCCTGAAGACAAGTAGGGACACAGCTTTATCTCTTGGTCTCACAATAATGATGAAGGCAGGGATCCAGCTCCCAGAGAAGCCTGGTTTAAGCTGAGGGAATTTAAATAGACACTTTGGACCTCAGGCTAAACATTGCAGAACCGTTTGTTTGCAGACCTGCGCCCAAGAATGAGGACGAAATGATGGTGGCCATCTTTGAGTACATCGATCGCCTGTTTAACATCGTGCGTCCCAGGAGGGTTCTCTACATGGCCATCGATGGAGTGGTGAGTCCCAGTTAGTTTCAGCTGTCCTGCTTCAGAACCAGGCTTGATGGACCTTCTCCTGGACTTTCCTCAGGCTCCGCGAGCCAAGATGAACCAGCAGCGCTCCCGGCGCTTCCGAGCCTCCAAAGAAGGGGTGGAGCTTACAGAGGAGAAGAACCGTATGAGGGAGGAGGTCATCCAGAGAGGTGAGGTTTATGGGACGGATCCCTCCGTAGGTTTCGGTTTGTTGCTGGAACATTGGAACCGTCTTCAGAACCGACCGATCGACCGCTGCTGCTGAACTTCAAAGACAAACATGAAATAAAAATAATAGATGATGGAGAAACCAGCAGCAGAACGGACTGGCCGCCTGTTTTGGACGTGAAGCAGAGGAGCGATCCGTCACTCACTGGTCTGCTTCCTCTGCAGGAGGCTACCTTCCCCCGGAGGAGATCAAGGAGAGGTTTGACAGCAACTGCATCACTCCGGTAAGCAGGGCGTCTGATGAAGCCATCTTAGACAGGGGCGGAGCTAGATGGGGGGCCAGGGGTGGCCATGGCCACCCTTACTCAATCATTAGCCACTCCTACCATTTTTTCCCCTCTAATACAGAGGGTGGCAGCAGTAATACTCAAGTGGAATATTCCAAACATTTAAATTTTTTATGGTTAATGATACACATCAATATACTAACATCAAAGATGATGAATACAGAATTCCTGCTCTTTTCACAACTAGATTTTGTGTTATATGGGGTAAAGAGAAAATGTGTCATAAATTCCTCAGTGAAATCATAGATAAATAACAATATTTAATAAAAACTTATCAAATAATCCATTTATGTAGATATTAGTGCTTGTAAATATCAATTTTCCTGTTGAAGCAGTGTAGATTGACCCTGAGGTTCTGGCGCCTGTCCACTTTCGGCCGCCCCTCAGTGTACATTGGTTATTGCCTGGACACCCTTATAAAGAATGTTTGGCTACGCCTCTGATCTTAGATTTAGTCTTAGTCTTCAGGGCGAAAACTATTATTAGTTTATTAGTCGCATTTTAGTCATTATTATGTGATAGTTTTGGTCGGTTTTAGTCGACTAAAACTAAAAAGCTTTTAGTCAGTTTTATGTTGCAAAAACAAGGTTAACCTTGACAAATAGCAGATCTAGTTCAACACATCATGTTAGTTAATATAGCAGACAGACGAGCAAAATGTCCAATAAACAAATGTTTTAGACATCCAAGGTTTCCATCACAAACCAAATACTTCCTGATCTAATATAAATTCATGGCTCCAAAAAACATTCTTCTTTCTACTTTGGCAGTTTTGTCTTTATGTTTGAGAATTTTCCCCCCTCGGTTCCTGCTGCTCAGTGGTCAAAGTAGATTTAAATTTCATATTATATAAAGAAATACAGAAAAAAACCTAAATCACATATGTCAGAGTCAAGGCCCGCGGGCCATATCCGGCCCGCGGGCCTTGACTCTGACTCTGAGAAGGTTTTTTACGGCCCCTGGGATGATCTTGATTTATTATTAGAACCGGCCCGCAGACCGCAGCAAGCCGGCAGCCCGCAGATCTTTTACACGCACCAATACTACATTTCCAACAATGCAACGGTGACGCACCGAGCAGTAGGCTGCTTCATTTCGGTGTTTATTAGCACAGCGGTCGTCAGCATAACTGTAAAATTAACTTTCAGATACCCATCAAAAATGCTCAGCTCAGAGCCTTGCCCTGAACATTGATGAACTTGTGGAAAAGATGGGACACCACCAAGTATCACCCTCAACCTCAAACAAGTGAACATTACTGTGCAATCACATATTTAGAGTTTTTACTCAGTTCAAGTTTAAAAGTTAAAGTTTAATATTTGTTTTCACTGCATGTTACTTCTCCTTGAGGAAAGTTGTTTTTGATAAATAGATTTTTGCACTTTATTTTATTGTATTACAATCCAATTATATTTTAAAAATATTTCAGTTGAGTGGATGATAGAAAATTGCTATTATTTTTTTCTTTGAATTAAATTTAGCCCACTTTTGCTAAAATAGAAAATATAGGCTACTGATGGTGCCTTGAATAATACAGGTCTCTTTCATTTAATGTTCATGTTATGGGGATTTTTATATAAAGGAAATGTGTCTTTTGTGTCTGTTGATAATTAAAGATTACTGACAGAGCCATAAGAAAATATTGATTTATTTATCTGATCAAACTGGAATATATTTGTTAGGTTTTCAGTAGGTTCAATTATGTTTACTAGACTATATGCGTCATTTAAAAAAGTTTCAATGAACATTCGATCAGTCCGGCCCTCGGCTTGTAGCTAAATTCTTTATTTGGCCCTCCGTCCATTTGACTTTGACACCCCTGACCTAAATGATTGCCTTGTAATTGCATGGCATTCCACACCTAAACTGGATGAATATGCTACTAAAATATTGAAATATTTAAAAGAAACAGAGAAAATGTTTTAATGACAATACAAGGACATTTTTTCATCATATTTAGATAAAAACAAGAACGAGAGATAAAAATTCAAAGATCTATGAACCGTTTCTTCTGGCTCTTTATCCAAAAATAAACAGAATGCAATCAAATATTTTTGGATATAATTTAGGGATTACTTTTGGTAGAAATGAAAGAATATTTAGCATCACCTCTAGTCAGAGATGGGAAGTAACGAAGTACAAATACTTCGTTACTGTACTCAAGTAGATTTTTCTAATATTTTTACTTTACTTTACTACTTATTTTTATGGCGACTTTTTACTTCTACTCCTTACATTTTTACACAAATATCTGTACTTTCTACTCCTTACATTTTAAAAAATTGGCTCGTTACTTTAGCTTTGAATCATTTCAATGGAGTTACCGTTATTATTTTTCACGTCATCAATACCAAATTCAATCTAATTGGATGGGAATCTACGTTGCATTTCACGCACCGCTACAAGATGAATCGACAGATTCGGCGGTATTCATTGGCGGCAAATCATTGCAGCTTGGTGGCGGTGGCGTTAGCATAGTAGCATGGACGACGAGATGATTGAAAATGAACACAACGGAGATCTAGTCCTATTGGCAGACATCCATTTAAAATGTAGGCAACGGCATGAAAAAAAGTGGTTTCTACTTTTACTTTTATACTTTAAGTACATTTACAAGCCTGTACTTTGTTACTTTTACTTGAGTAAAGAAGTTTAATCAGTACTTCCAATTTTACCAGAGTATTTTTTAACACAAGTATCTGTACTTTTACTCAAGTACGGAAAGTGAGTACTTTTGCCATCTCTGCCTCTAGTGAGCTGGAAGAAATAAAATGTTGATGGTAAAGTGATTTTTTTTTTAGGCCTGGCAGAGGATGATCAGCCACATCTAGTTTATTAAGTAGCGAGAGCAGGAAGAGCCGTACTGCTGAGAGCGATCAGAGTGGAGCGTGAAGCGCAGACTCTCAGCTAAGCCGGGCAAAGACGCATTTCTGAGGATCAGAGCAGAGTTTGTCAGAATTCGGCGCACAGTACCAAACCATTCTGGGTTATTTTCTTGACCCAAAATCCCACATCCTCCGTCGCCATCCCGCTACGCTACAGACCGCCTGCACAACGCCTACAGGCTCCGCTATTCCTCCCGTCCTGCACGATATTACCGTATTTTCACGACCATAAGGCGCACCGTACTAAAAGGCGCAGTCTCAGTTATGTGTCCCATTTCTGTATTTAACACACACATAAGGCGCACCGGACTATAGGGCGCGGGTTTTATATACTGGTACATATCCTCTACTACGTTTAAATACCTCTACTGCATATTTAAAAATAGAGCGGGAGCAAAACTGAGTATGATTGTGCTTTATTCATGTATTTATTACAAAGTATTAATCGAACCCATCAACGTCATCATCCTCTGTTTCTGAATTAAACAGCTGCGCTAAATCAGACATGCCAGTTTCCCCTTCCTCGCTGTCAGAGTCACTTTCCGTGCAGCGCGGCTCCTCGGAAATAATGCCGGCTTTTGCGAAAGCTGGAACAACAGAGCCAGCAGACACGTTAGTCCAAGCATCTGCAATCCATCCGCAAACGGTGGCATAACTTGAAAAAAAGACGTTTATTTGCGCCTTATAGTCGTGAAAATACGCTATTAAATACAAAGGAGCAAAACGTGGAAATGAACGCCTAATTTAATATGACGTATTAAAAAAATCCCCCCCATCATCCAGCAGATGTTCAGTTTCTGCCCAAATATTTTCTTTTTATGTGGATTTCTGTAGCAGGGATAACTAGGATCATACATAGTTTATACGAACTCTGTTTGTTCTCTTACTTCCAAACTCAGCATTTCTTCATCCATTCCTGCAAAAATAAGTGTGTTGAAGTTGTGAGACGCTATCTTAGAAGTTTTTAATGGATTTGATTGAGTTTTTTATCCTCTTAGTATAAAATAAATAATTTGATGGAGATGAGAAATCTGCTTCCTGGTGTGATGAAGTACCGATACTCTGCATCCAGTCGTTTAATTAAACGCTCTTAGTTTTTGGGAATACACACTGTTTGCAGAATTATTAGGCAAGTTGTATTTTCGGGGATTATTTTGATTATTCGGCCACAATTGTGTTCTAAATCAACCCAAAAGACTCCTTAATATCAAAGTTTCATATCTTTGAAAGTAGATTTGGTTATTTTATCAGGATGTCTGTGTGTGCAGGTAAATATTACTGTCCAGAATTATTTGGCAACGTAATAAAAATCAAATATATGTCCATCTCACTGGTTTATTTTCACCAGGTAAACCAATAGAACGACTCAAAATTCAGAAATAAACATTTGCGACGTTCAAAAACAAGAAAACAACCAAATCAGTGACCAATGTTGCCTCGTTTCTCCACCATGACGCTCTAAATCCTTCCATCCGTAGATTCTGTCTTTGTCTTGATCTGTTTGCGATCCTCATTGCGTGACGCAGCTTCACAGCCTCCCTGTAGATCTCACCTTTCATGAAGGACCACAGGTTCACCATGAGGTTCTGGTGAACAAGGTGACTCACTGAGCGACGAACCGCTGTTTTTTTGTCTCGTTTCGTTGATGAAAACTCAAACCTATGACTAATCCTGTTTGTCATCATCAAAGATCCATGTTTAACTCGTCAGTTTTAGTTATCGTCATTTAAAAAAGGTGCGTCAATGAAATTATTTCGTCATCGTTGAAGAAAACGTTCTGTGTTCGGTTCTGCTCTGAATGGCTGAGCTGTTTCTGCAGGGGACGGAGTTCATGGACAACCTGGCTCGGTGTCTGAGGTACTACGTAGCCGACCGACTCAGCAACGATCCGGGATGGAAGAACGTTGTTGTGAGTGTTTAACCTGGAAGGATGAAATCCTCTGCTGGTTCTGAGTTCAGAGATCCATTCCTCTCCCTCATTCCCAGGTCTTCCTGTCTGACGCCAGCGTTCCTGGCGAGGGAGAACACAAGATCATGGACTTCATCAGGAGACAGAGAGGTGAGGCCAACTAGAGCAGCTTTGGGTTACAAATTTTATTTTATGTTAACCAGCTCAAGGCTTTTCACTAATAATTCTGCCACATGTGGGTGTCAGTGTTAGACCTTGAACAATACTGAATAAAATGGAAAATAAATAAGAGATCTTTTGTGCATAATAAAAAAAAAAGCTTAATGAAAAAATAAATTGACCTAAAATTACAAAAACAAAAGTGAAAATAATGTCCAAGAATTAGAGCTTTATCAGAGCATCTTCAAACGATCAGCACTGATCTTTACCTGCTGGGAATTTTAAAGAAGCAGAAAAATGTATAAATTTGAGAACATTGCCAAGTTTAGAGAACACCTGGAAAAGAAGTTGGTGCCTTTTGTTCGCTGTCCTCGCCGTGAAATCCAAACCGCTGCCGTATATCGCTCAGTGAAACACCTGCTGTTGCCAGATTTAGTTTGGCAGTCGCTGTAGTGTGTGAGAAAATAATCCTGTTTGGAGGAGGGATTTCTGATTAGTGCTGCACTGATACCAGTATCGGGCGGGGCCCCAATCCAGCTCTAAAATGGTGGTATCGGTATCGGCAAGTACCAACCAATAGGGCAACGATACCATTTTGAGAGCCTAAAGTTTCTTCAACTATTGTTACCCATTCCAGGTAGGCAATAAAAAGTTCTCCTGGATTCACTTTGTTTTAGTCTTTTCCTGCTTCATAAAGGTAGGCAGCAGCTTGACATGAAGCCATGATGGACATTATTTTACATCCAAGTAGGATGCAGTTCTTCATAGAATGCATCATGATACTTGAAATATTGCGATGCATCGCGATATTTTCACTGAACACTGTTAGAAACAGATACAGCCCTTACTGACTGGCTGGGTGTGATCTGGATAGTGTCTACAATTGATGCATAACTGAAAGCAACTGAATTCATGCATAGCTGTATTCATTGAAACGACTTTTGGAGGTGTTGCCATGGAAACAAATACTGGACAGAAAATGAGGATAATCAGTGTCATTCACATGGCTTTAGTGGTCCTTTAAACCAATGAAATGAAAACATTTCCCCTTTTGCAAATGACGTGCATCATATCAGTTTTTTTTTTTACCTTCTTTGTTTTTAAAGCCTAAATGCATCCAAGCATCTGACTTGAAATGTGATGGAGCCGCCGGGTGAAGTTTCTCAGTCTCCTCCATGGTTTATTTACGAATGACTCGGCGCAGTATCCCGCGGCCGGACATGCTTGGGACGGGCGTCAACACATCCGCAGCGACATCTGCTGGACTGGAAGCTGTATTCCACTTGTTTTTGGCTGCTGTGCGCCAACCATTCCCCTATTTTATTTATTCATTTTTTAAAATTAAGAATCGATACTTGGCTTCAAGAATCCATGCAGTAGATCACAAAAATTAGAATCGCGATGCATCGTCATGACGATTATTTTGCACACCCCTAATATACACACACATCAATTTCAAACAGATGGTATCGGTTGATTCTGCACAGCCCGGTATCGGGTAACAGGGCCAAAAAATGGCATCAGCGCAACACTATTTATGATGCATTCAAAGTGTGTGGGAACAATAAAACTCTGCGAAATAGATGCCGAAAACTCAAGATACATCGAGTATATTATATCGCCCACCCCTAGACTATATTTGAACAAAATGGTTGCATCATAGCGCATGAATGAAACTTATTTACTTTTTCTTATTAATTAAACTCTCTTAAAAACTAAATTGATTCTAGAATTTCCAGATAATTGCATTTAACGGGTTCGGGTCTCGGTTCTGAACTCTACGGATAAAGTCTATAAAAATTAGAGCCGTGCAGGACTCTGGTTCCGACCCTGCAAGCTGCTCTCTGCCCCCTCCAGGACAGGGAGCCAAGCATGGGGATGGCACCATCATGCTGTGGGACACAAAGCTGGTCAGGTGGTTGCAGCTAAATGTTGACCTTCCAGGAGGAGAACCAGACAGAGAGACGATGGATGGGTTAGAACGGCCTAGTCAAAGGCCAGACAGATGAACTCTAGAGAGACTCTAAAAATGTTCTCCATCCAACCGAGAGTTTTTACTGAAAGGGAACTGATCAAAGCTCAGGAGGTTCTACAGAGTTCTGACTCCACGCTTCATCTTAGTCAAAGTTCCAAACCTGTTCAGACCAGAACCGCAGGTGGAACAGGTGGAGGGTTTTAAGAACCTCTGAGGATTAATGTTTCCGTTCAGTTAGAACCAGAAAATCTGACGCTGGCCCAGTTTATCCTGATAAATGTGATCTGATCTCCACAGCTCAACCCAACCACGACCCAAACACGCATCACTGCCTGTGTGGAGCCGACGGTAAGAACCTCCGCCAACATCAGGTCGGTGTCCCTCAGGTCCGGTTCTATCCCAAGTTCTGTTTGTGTCCGAGCAGCTGACCTCATCATGCTGGGCCTGGCCACCCACGAGCCCAACTTCACCATCATCAGGGAGGAGTTCAAGCCCAACAAGCCGCGGCCGTGCGCGCTCTGCGGACAGATGGGCCACGACATCAAGGAGTGTCAGGGCGTGGCCCGGGAGAAGCAGGGCCAGGTCTGCCTCTCTTTATCGTAGAGGCTGGGTTTAATCTCCTCGGTTCTGACCCGTTTCCTGCTCTGCTTTCAGCACGACGAGTTTGCAGACGCCATGCCTGTGGCTGAGCAGGAGTTCATCTTCATCCGGCTCTGCGTCCTGAGGGAGGTCCGTTTACCTGCAGTTAGACAGCAAAAAAAAAAAGTAAAGCCTTCCACTTCCTGAAGATGGCTGCTTCTTCCCTTGTTTTCAGTACCTGGCCAGAGAGCTGACCATGGCCAGCCTGCCCTTCCCCTTCGACTTCGAGAGGAGCGTCGACGACTGGGTCTTCATGTGCTTCTTCGTGGGAAACGACTTCCTGCCGCATCTTCCCTCTCTGGAGATCAGGTGGGCCTCAGCAAACGGCCTGCAGGGGGCAGCGTCTGCAGCAGCAGCTGCATCTCAGTTCATGTAGAAACAGAAATTAAAGCCTGGTTTCTGCTCAGAAAGCAGCTCGTCTGCTGCGGGAGTATACCCAGCCCTTTAGGCTTTGTGTGGCGTGGCATAGGGGGGTCCGGAGGTTTCCTCCCCTGTAAAATGGTGAAATCTAGACTCTAACATTATTTCCTGCATTTTGAGGTGGAATGCAGCTAACCTTTTGTCTTTGTTCCAACGTTACTTTAGTCCTGATTATGGGAAATATGCATTTTTGACTAGAGGTGGAAATTTCATAAGGAAGATCATTTTTAGCTACAATATTATCATCCAGGGTTCCCGCGGGTCCTTAAAAAGTCTTAAAAGGCATTGAAATCCTCAAAATAAAACTAAGGCCTTAATTGGTATTAAAATGTCTGAAATCAGTCTTTCGTAGGTCTTAACTTTTAAAACCTCATAAAAAGGATTATTTTTGTTGTGATTTATTTTTGTAATCTAAATAAAATATTCATATTGACTTTTTTTTTATTTAAAAAAAATAACGTCTCGACTTGCGGTTTGCCATGCGGAGAGGATAGACGTAGCAACGGACTGCTCCAGAACATTTCAACCTTTTAACTAAATTCGCCCCACGGAAAGTTAATTTTGCGATACCAAAGCATCTTGAACGGTGCTTTTGTTTACTTATTCACTAGTAATGGCCAGCAAAAGCGCGAAAGGAGGTAGGAAAGAGGATGCTAGCTTAACGCTGGAGGCTATCACCGCACTGCTTCAGCAGCATAAGGAAGATCTGAAATCCGAGTTCAAATCTTCTGCCAACATGCTTAGCTCCAAGCTAGACCAGATGCGGCAGACCCTGGAGGAACAAGCAGAGCGAATCTCCTCCTTAGAACTCGCTACAGAGGATCTGAGCCAGCGAGCGGCTAACCTCGAAGACTCGTGTGCTGCTCTCCGTGAAGACAACGCCAAATTAAAAGACAAAGTCACTGACCTGGAGAGCCGCAGTAGACGACAGAACATCCGCATCCTCGGTCTCCCTGAAGACACGGAAAGTGGGCGCCCTCCTCATTTCTTTTCCAACCTTCTCTGCGAACGACTCGGGAACGAGGCGCTCCCGACCCCACCGGAGCTCGATAGAGCGCACCGTTCCCTGGCAGCTAAGCGACCCGCAGGACGTCCACCTCGCTCGGTTATCCTTCGCCTGCACCGATACCAGACCAAGGACCTCATTATCCGGGAAGCCAGGAGGAGAGGAACGCTCGACTACAAAGGTGCATCTGTTCGTATCGTGGAAGACTACAGCCCAGACGTCCTGGCTCGACTGGTCTTCGTATTGCACAATCCAGCGGTGCCAAAAAGTTCCTGGGTTGGGTGGAGGAGGCGCAGCAGTTCATCAAGAGGCTCCCGAAACCATCAGAAGACCAATAAAGGAGCAAAGCTGTACTGAGAGTTTACTACATAAAAACAGGCGGGCTGGTTTTCTTCAGGGTGCAGTAGGTACTCTAAATACAGCCTGTTAAAGGAAAATTCCGGTTTTTAACACTTTTAGCCCCTTTTCTGTAGTGTCCAGGATGAAATCGAATGATCGACACCAAAATTTTGACAATTGGTCCTGTCTCGGCTATTTGGCTCATGCAGAATCCCCCCCTGGCTGCTTCAGAATGGCTTCCATAGTGCATGTCCGATAATGTCCTTAAAACAACCTTAAACGTTCTTTTTTTTAAAATATGCTACTCACCGGGTCGTCAGCGCTGTTCAATGACGTTCCAAAAAAGTTTCGTGAAGAAAAACCGTTCCTGTAGTGTTTTATTTAGCACTTTGTAAATTCCAGAACTATTTTTTCCGATACATCACAACCGCTTATAAACTTCCGCTTCCCGTTCGAATCTGAAGCTTTGCACACTCCAGACCACTAGTTGGCGACAATGTCTCTATATACTCCTCCTCAGTATATTCCGGTTCAAAACGGTATCCTCTACCGTCAAACTCAAAGTCCAATATGTCCTCCTCAAGAATCCACCTTTCGTATTCCATTTTCAGAGTTTTTTAAAGTGTTTAACAGAGACGTTAGCACCTCGACGTCGGAGTACACAGAGTGAAGCGAAAAGACTACAACTAAGCGTAAACAGGCCCCATTTCCGTTTCCGGTGGCGGAGGGATATTGACTATTCCAACAGAACTCAATGGGATTTACAAAATGCTAAATAAAACACTACAGGAACGTTTTTTCTTTACGAAACTTTTTTTGGAACGTCATTGAACAGCGCTGACGACCCGGTGAGTAGCATATTTTAAAAAAAGAACGTTTAAGGTTGTTTTAAGGACATTATCGGACATGCACAATGGAAGCCATTCTGAAGCAGCCAGGGGGGGATTCTGCATGAGCCAAATAGCAGAGACAGGAGCAATCGTCAAAATTTTGGTGTCGATCATTCGATTTCATCCTGGACACTACAGAAAATGGGCTAAAAGTGTTAAAAACCGGAATTCTCCTTTAACAAGTTATTTTTTTTACAAATTGACCTATTCTGGCCATCCTTTTTGTTGGTATTGGACTTTATGAATGAAGGAGCAGCTCTAATAACACCGGTTTGTTCTGTCCCAATAGTGTCGGGAGCCTCCTTTTATCTGGTGTGGTAGCTTAATTTTTTACTTTTTTATTATATTTTTGCTACATTACTGTTTTCCCTTGGTGTGCTTGGTGGCCAGTAAAGTACAAGATAAATATTCACGTTGGGGTGGGGGGTTCAAGGGTCAATCAGCGATGTCTGTTTCCCACTGGTACCTACCTTTTCCGGTAGGTTAATGTAATTGTGTTTTCCTTAATGTAGTTGCGCTTTTAGATTTGTAGTTGCAGTTTGCACTTCAGGGCCACCGTAGTTTTCCCCTCCTGTTGGTGGCGGCTGGAAGTAGATGTTAGCGTTTTTCAGGTCTGTGCTACAAACTGCAGGCAGCAGGATAATAAAAGCCAACATATTCTGCCGGCAGGTTTCTACATTTGAAGTTAATTTAGGCGTTGATAAACTGTTTCAGAGGAGTGATCATAGCGCTCTGCATCATCAGTGCTGCGTCTGACTCCCTGCCAGCTCCCACATCAGCTTCTCTCATTGGTTGATGTCCAGCAGCAACAAAGTAAAATTTTCCAGGAAAAATGAGGGCGTACCAAAGCTGTACATCCCATAAACAGGGCGTACGCATCGCTAGCTAAAAGCCTGGTGTGGTTGATCTTCAGCTGCTTGTGTCGCTTTAGTCGGGTAATTTATCACATTTGATTCACAGATTATGTTTTTCCATTTAGCATCAAAGTGTTTTCAAGGTTTAATCTTGAGGTGATGTATAAAAAACGGGGCCTGAGTTTGCAGGAGAAAGACGCTGCTTTCTTCTGAATAAAATGAGACGCAGCTGAAGGCGGTTCTCCTGGTTCTAACCGTTTGAGGAAGCAGCCGCCTGTCAGTATTTGGCATTTCACGTCCTGTAACCACGAAGCAATTAGCGGCGGCGCTGGAGATGAGGTTCCAGTTAATCAGCTAATCCTGGCGGCTGATCCTCTGCGTGAACGCTGGCATTTTAATCAGAGCGCTGAACGCTCCTCATTAGCATTTTAAATCACCGCCTGCCTCGCGCTCCCCCCTCCTCCTCCTCCTCCTCCTGATGGGAGCTCATGGATCTGACGCTGATCTGAAACGGTCCAGAAACATGTCCGACGTCCTGACCTTTAACCCTTTCACTGCTCGAACACGATCGGCACTGAAAGGCTGGAGTCTGATCTGGTCAAAGTTTGGAAAATGATAAAACAAAGAAACAAGAGAATGAAGAAAATTTTAGTTTCCTGCTTTCTTCCTTTTATTTTTTCCAAAGTTTTCTTTGGTACACTGAAACAATGAATCGGATTTATCAATTATTGAAATAATCATCAACTAATTAAATTCAGTTTATTTGTAAAGCGCCAATGTCATCTCACTTTACAATTTACCAGATAGTAGAGTCACACTGATTCAAAGTTTATGGAATTCATTGATTAATTAATCATTAACTTTAGTATAGAGACTATAAAACAGGCATTTAGCCAACAGAGCGACCCACTCATAGCAGTGATTATATCAAAAAATATGTATATAAACGTTTTGCATTTAAGATAAACTTGTTTTCGTCCATCAATCTGCTCTATAATCCAGAACTCCTCATGTGGAAAAGTTTAGGTTACACCTTGTTTAATTTCGTAAAAAGTCTTATTTAAGGAACATTTGGCTATCCTATTATTAATTCATTAATTAAAAAAACTATTGAACGAGTTTTATGTTTTGCATTTCTTATTATCTTTGTGTATCTATGCTTCTTTTTCTGTCTGCTTCTGTCTCCTTGAACCCCAGTGGGCCTCAGCAGATGGCCGCTCACACTGAGCCTGGTTCTGCTGGAGGTTTCTTCCTATTCAAAGGGAGTTTTTCCTCTCCACTGTCGCTACAAGCATGCTTAGTGTGAGGGATTGCTGAAGAGTCAATGAGTCGATGCAATCAGCTGGTTTTCCTTAGATAGAAAACTTTGAATCAATCTGACTGGATGATCTGGTTGATCTGGATCTATAAAGTGACATGAAATTTAACTGATGGTTGAAAAGGTAATTTTTTTTTGCTTTTTATTGTAAAAAAATTTAATTAGAAATTAAACTTTAAAGAATTTGCAAATATATATAAATAATAATTAAAAAAGGATAATAAAAATGATAAAATAATAGTTAAAATATTCTCTTAAAACCTTTTTAAATAGGTTTTATTTTCATAAATTCAATTTGTTCAAATGAAACTCAAAGTTCAAACTATCGAAATCCAGGGAAGCAGCTTTTTACTCGGATACAACGTTTGAGTAACGATATTTTCGACAGCCGCAGTAAAGATAGAGCTCGAACTTTCTTATTCACGTTATAAATATTACACTCAAATCTGTTTTTGATAAAAACATTTTTAGGTTTCCTTTTCTTCTTTTTTTTTAACTCGTTTTCTTTAAACTTTCTTCTGGGAAACATGTTTGATTTCAATAATATTTGAACAACTTTCTCTCCAATAAAGACAAATTAATGCTTTTATAATTGTTCAAAATATTTTTTACATTTACCGCAGGAATATGAAAATGTTTTTATAAACCTGGTAAAATAATATATTTTATAATTCTCTTTTTTTCCCCTTAACTTTCTGGCGGCCCCTGATTGAGATTTTAGACCCTTTAGGGGTTCTGAACCCGCTCAGAACACAACCCGACCCATTTGACCTCTTTGTTCAGAGCTGCGGTTCTGACCCGGTTCTGGGTTTGATGTCAAATGCAGTAAAAAATAACTGAGTCGTAGCATCAGATGCTAACCTGCTTTAAACCGCCTTTTCATTCTGGAGAACCGGTCCAGCAGCTGAGGGGTTCCAGAATGTTCTTGTTCTATGCAGACGCTAACGTTGGTCTCCTCTCCTCCAACAGAGAGGGAGCCATAGACCGGCTGGTGAACATCTACAAAGACGTCGTCCATAAAACAGGAGTGAGTATTTTCCCCTGAGCTCTGCTGCAGCTGGTCCACCAGAACCAGACTGACTCTGAGGTTTTCCCCTGCAGGGCTACCTGACCCAGAACGGATACGTCAACCTGGAGCGAGTGGAGATGATCATGCAGGCCGTGGGCGTGGCAGAGGACAACATCTTCAAGAAACGCAAAGAGGATGATGTGAGATGTTGGATCTTCTCCGGCCTCCCGGTTCCAGTGTTCTGTCAGCTCAGCATACGGCGTCAGGCTAGCATACCCTTAATAATAAGCATCACACAACGGAAAAAATGTCGTTTTTTCTTAAAATAAGTGCATTTGTTCCTGAATTAAGGAGGTAAAAGAGACATGTTGCCAAAGGAACGAGATAATTTACACTTAAAATAAGAAAACACAATTGCATTGACTTATTTCAAGTGCATTTTATCAATTTATCTTATTTTAAGAGTAAAAATACTCATTCCATTTTATTTGCCTGCTCAACTTAAGGGTAAATGCATTAGAAATTTTTACTTATTTCTAGATCGTTTGCCAGTGCAAAGAGTATCCTGTCTCCGCTCTGATTAGAACCAATCACGCCGTTTTATTTCCAAATTTATTCAGATTTTTGTTGTAGTTTTGTGCATAAAACTACAAAAAAAGTCCTTCACTGGGTCCACTACACATATTAGTTTAAAAAAAAAAACGTTGCATGTCCGTTAGATGAGGATCTTATTAAAAAATCAGCATTTTTTTCACATAGAATTCAATATTTATAGGGAGAGGATTCTACAACCCAGATGACAGAATATGAGATTTATTTGTTTTTAGTTTGTTTAATACGAGCAACATGCGGATAATCTTATTTCTATTTATTTATTTCTACAGTACAAGAAGAACTAGAGAAATCATTTTCAGATTATTCGTAAACAGATTGATTAATTCCGTGGTGGAAAATGACTGTAACCGCTAATATTATCATGATTATGATGCGTATTACTAAGGGTATGCTAGCCTGACGTGGTATGCTGAGCTGACGGAACACCGGCTGAAGGTCTGGATTGTTGCTTCTGGAGTTTGGTTTTCTTCTGAAAACTGTTCTTCCATCCTTTAGGAGAACTTCAAGAGGAGAAACAAGGAGAAACGGAAGAGGATGAAGGTGGGTGAAGCACCGCTGATGATGATGATGATCATCTGAGAACTTGTTTGATGTTTATCTCCACCTACCGTACCGCTTATTATCGACCATGGCAGCAATCTGCGCCTCCCCTATTCCTCCTGTTTAAAATCACTGATGAAGGAGGTGTGTCTGGGTTCTGTGATGTTCTGCAGGCTGAGCAGCAGGGTCCCGCCTACTTGACCTCTGGCCAGTTCGCCCCTCAGGCCCTGGGAAGGAGAGACCGGCCTGAACCGGTCCAGAACGCTCGGCACCAGGCTTACGGCATGAGGATGCAGTCAGCAGAGCAGCACAACAAGGTACCGTTCAGATCCTGCTCTTCTCTCTAGTCGGAAGGATCCGTTCGCTCGGCATCAACGGGATGACTAGAAGGATAGAAGAGGAGATATTTCAGTCCCTCTAGAGGCTGCAGGAACCCGATCTGATAAACGGATAAATAAAAGGACAGGAAGTGTCGTTCAATGTGGACCATTGCTATAAACTGGTCCAGTAGTTGGTTCTGTTGGAGCAAAGACTGAACCAGGTATAGATTTGTTTTAAGTGCACCATTTCTGTTTGAGATTAGACTGAATCCAGATTAATAAAAATCCCAAAGATCATTAGATTAGTTCCATATGTTGCATTTATTACACAACTTAAACTCAATATGTTCACATTTGGTTCACATTGCTAGTTAGGATCTGGTTCATGTTCAAATTTGAAAACCGGTTCACACTCATATTTCAGACCTGGTTCAATATTCTAGTACAGATCTGGTTCATGGTCCTAGTTTAGATCCTTTTTAGATGCAGTTCAGATTCGGGTAACATTCCTAGTTCAGATCCGGTTTGCGTTCCTAGTTCCGGTTTACATTTTTTTTCAGATGTTATTTTAGAAATCTGTTCAGCTCTTGATGTTTTCTCCTGCAGGACGCGGCTCAGTCCCTGAAGTCCATGATGAGGAATGGAGGCAGGGTAGGTCCAGTCATTCTGAGAACCAAAGATCTGCCGAGTCCTGGTTTGATGATCTGTTAAAAGCTAAACACAGAGTGATGGTCGGCCGGTTTGGGTCCGGATCGGGCCGGTTTGGGTCCGGATCGGGGCGGTTTGGGTCCGAATCGGCTGGTTTGGGTCCGGATCGGGGCGGTTTGGGTCCGGATCGGGGCGGTTTGGGTCCGAATCGGCTGGTTTGGGTCCGAATCGGCTGGTTTGGGTCCGGATCGGGGCGGTTTGGGTCCGAATCGGCTGGTTTGGGTCCGGATCGGGGCGGTTTGGGTCCGAATCGGCTGGTTTGGGTCCGGATCGGGCCGGTTTGGGTCCGGATCGGGGCGGTTTGGGTCCGAATCGGCTGGTTTGGGTCCGAATCGGCTGGTTTGGGTCCGGATCGGGGCGGTTTGGGTCCGAATCGGCTGGTTTGGGTCCGGATCGGGGCGGTTTGGGTCCGAATCGACTGGTTTGGGTCCGGATCGGGGCGGTTTGGGTCCGGATCGGGGCGGTTTGGGTCCGGATCGGGGCGGTTTGGGTCCGAATCGGGGCGGTTTGGGTCCGGATCGGGCCGGTTTGGGTCCGGATCGGGCCGGTTTCAGAACATACGCTGGGATCCGGATGTTTTGACCTCTGAGGTTGAATTTATTCTCTTCTCTTTGTGTTGTGGGTTCTCTTTGCCCTGCTCAGTCGTCTGCAGGCGTCAGTGACGGTCCAGACAGCAGAGGAGCCAAAAGGAAAGCCGAGGACAGTGACAGCGAGCCGGAACCTGAAGACAATGTCAGGTCAGACCTTCATCATCCCTCTGAATGCAGATCTGAGTGTTTGTTTCCCAGTGTGCCCCCTGCCTCCCAGCCATTTCTGGTGACCACTCACTGCTAACTTATCAGATGTCATGTTAGCTTGATGACATCAGAAACGCTCAGAAAGTTTCCTTCCAGCTGACCGTAATGAACTGGATCTGTGATCATCGGGCTGCATTCATTAACCCCCCCCACACACACATCCCCCCGCCGCTCTGAGCGTGATTAATATGGAAAGCGGGAACGTTGGAGTGAATTCCTCCTCAAAGCTCCTAAATCCAGCGAGCTAAATTGGTATTCAAGCCGGCTTTCCTGTCAGGAGGCGGCGCTCCCGCCGGGCTCCTCCAGAACCGGCGGTGCAGATGCTGGCCGGTTCTGATTATGTGTGCAGAGCAGCATGGCTGCTTTTAAAGTATTCCTGCAGTTTTTCAGTCTATAGATGGAGCCATTAGTTCTAAAGCTGCAGCTGACCCAGAACCGGGTCAGATGTGGATCCTAACCGGGTTTGTTCTCTGCAGGCTGTGGGAGGAGGGCTGGAAGCAGAGGTACTACAAGACCAAGTTTGATGTGGACGTGTCCGACGAGGGCTTCAGGAAGAAGGTGGTCCGGTCCTACGTGGAGGGGCTGTGCTGGGTGCTGCGCTACTACTACCAGGTAACTCTGGGATCGATACCAGAACCAGGTCTGGGTTCTGGTCTGAGTCATCTGTTTAAACATCAGGAACTTGTTCTGAGCCATGTGACGCCCCCTGCTATGATAGAGGCCATCCCATCCTTCCATACGGTTCTGGAAAACCGGTTCTGGACCAGAACCCCTAAGTGGGTCCATGTGCTGCAGGTTCTGTGAGACATTAGTCTGAGGCCAGGAAACGGAGGACTAGAGGCGTCCTCTGGCGTCCCACAGTGGCGACCTTCAGGTGAAACAGGGACAGGTACCAGGCCCATCACTGCCTTTGGTTCTGATCAATTCTTTGATTAGGAAGGGAGATCTGCCCCTGCAGACATCTGATCAGAACCACTAATGGGAAAATGGTCTGGTTCTGATCAGTTTGGATCATAATCTAACCAGGGTCCACTTTAGCCGTCCGGTTTGTCTGCAGGTGCCCGAACTCTGACTCCTCTCCAGTCATAGGAAGCGGCCGTTCCAACCGTCGCATTTCTGAATTCTCCCGAATGGTCCCCGACTTTACACGAGTGAATAAAGTGAATGTGATTGGTCGATTATCAAGGGGGCGGGATTGTTGTGGAGGAAGGTTCGCAAGCAGCTTTGGTTGTGGCCGGTTTGTGGGAAGCATCTTGCTAACCAGTTAGCAACTTAGTGCTAGCAGGTTCCCAATGGGAAATTCCATTGGGACCAAGTAGCACTAAATTGGTGACTTAGAAACGACGCTGTCAAGGAACGCTATGGACAGCGGAAACATGCAAGAGGAGGAGAGTTTAGTGTCGGAGGTCGTGGATGAGTCTCCTCCGTCTCCTTTCAATGGAGCGCTAACGGAGCTCAGAGTATTAAGTAAAAACTTCTCTTATCTGTTGCTGTTGTTCAGAAAAGGGACGCTTTAAGATCGTTTGAGGCGAGAACATTATTCTTTTAAGCATCAATATATCGCCAATTTACTGATTTAATGTGTCATTTTAAAAACACTTTCTGAAGTTGAGAGGAAAGAGGAAAACAGTGGAGCTCCGAGAGTAACGGCGGCCAGGGCTAACGTTAGCAGATGACTGTTGATATACGCTTGGCAGAATTTAGGTGTTCAGGCTGACGTAGAACTAACTGGCCTGCAGAAGATAACTAAAAAAAAACAGATTTTAAGACAGGATTTGTTTTTAAATAGAAATTTTCTAACTTTTGGGATAATATTGTCTGATAAAGAGAACATTTATATATATGTTTAAGCCAGAATGATTTGACCTTTAAATATGATTTCCCTACGACTTTAATCTCCCACGTGGCGATCAGAATGATCAGAACAGGCGGGTCCATGATGGAGGAATGATGACCCGGACTGAGGAATCCTGGGATTCTGGTCCGGTTCTTTGAACCTGGAATGTTTGGAAGCAGCTCTGATAGGAGCTCAAAGCTCTTCCATCATGAATAACTTTACCCCCCCTGGTGGAACCCAGCGGACCCTGCGCTGCTACCCTTAAGATTCCGACACTTTCACTAAACCCATCCGGCTATGCTGCTGGATCACCTGTGGACTCGACCCGCTAATGAAGAACCGGACCTTTTATCTGCTGAGAGCAAACATGGCTGCCGTCAGAGAGCGACCTCTGCTTCCCGGAGCAGATGATGAGGTCCTCACTTCTCCAACCTGCACTCAGAGCAGAAGGTAGACTGACCCGCAGAGCTAATGAACTCTGTCCGTGACCTGGAATTAAACCGGGCCGGAGCAGAATCTGCAGGGAGGAGCTGTTCTGCTGAAGTGACCCTGGAGCAAGAATGTGGCGAAAGCTCCTTGCAGCGCCGCTGCTAAATATTGATCTTTATCCTGAATGAATTAATGAGGCGAGGAGCCTCTCCAGCTGAGCGGGGGGATTAGCCCGGTCCGATTGTGCTCTCTGCCCGTGCACACCAATCCAAATCGCGTCTCCGGGGCCCGTTCTGAAGGGCCTGATGAGCGGGCCCTGGGTGCGCCTGGACGTGCCTTCGCTCTGCTGCTGCACATTCACGGTTCTGCAGAGTTATGATCGGCCACACCTCAGCGAGAGCTGCCTTAGCCAAACCACAGAAGAACCGCCTGGAACCGGGTCCAAACGGGCCAGAACATCCGAACAGGCTGCGTTTAGCAGAACAGGCTGATTCTTAGATTTTATTCTCATTTTTTTATTCCACAATATTTTAATCTTTTTAAGCAAAAATAATTTATTTTTAGCCGTTTTTTTTGTTTTGTTTACTTTGTTGGTATTTAAAGAAATATATTATGTCCAAGATAAAACGATTTGAAGACTTTAAAAATTCTTTAAAAAAAGAAATTCTGCTGAATTTTAAGATTTCATTCATTTGGTTGCTTAAAAATATATTTATAGTTTAAGGGATTTTAAGCAAAATGTACTTTATGCCATTATTATGATGTATTTTAGTTTGAAAATACAACTTTGCTTTATAAAGATTATATTTATAGTTTTATGAATTATCCTATATTTGATTTTATTCATTCAATATATATAAAATATATTTAATAACCACAGACTTATAAGTATACTATATATATATATATATATATATATATATATATATATATATATAGATTAGTGAACGTTTTTATTTCTACTTCACCAAATAAGTCTATAAACAACAGATATTTAAATCCTCTTATAATTTTGGGCAGCAAAATAAATGTTCATTTTAAACATTCATTATGTAAAGTAACTCATCAGAATATTCTGGTTATTTATTTTAATTGGTTATCTGAATAATCAGAGATGGTTTCTATTTAAAGGTATGAATAAACGCCTGCAGCAGCATAAAGGTTAAATATCTGGTGTTTCCTCACTGACCCGGTTCTGATCCGTTCCGTGGTTCTGGTGGCGGCGCTCTGCGACCCGGTGGTGACATGGCTGCTCCTCCAGATGCTGCAGAGCGTCATGTTTTCATAAATGCAGCCGTGAGACAGTTTGATGGTGGAGATTGGATCCTTTATTATGTTAAGGCTCCGTATTATCATGTGAATGAGTGTTTAATAGCAGAGTGGAGGGTCTGAAAGGCGGGACGGGGCCGCCAGAGCGGCGGATCAGGGGCCGCCAGAGCGGCGGATCAGGGGCCGCCAGAGTGGCGGATCAGGGGCCGCCAGAGCGGCGGATCAGGGGCCGCCAGAGCGGCGGATCAGGGGCCGCCAGAGCGGCGGATCAGGGGCCGCCAGAGCGGCGGATCAGGGGCCGCCAGAGCGGCGGATCAGGGGCCGATTGTGGGAGGGAAGGTCGTCCTGTAGAAGGTGGCCTGTTGCTTCAGAGAGGATAAATGGTCCGAAAGAACGGTTCTGCTGCCCCACATGATTAAAAAAAATAATCTAGGGCAGAGGGGAACAAACTACAGACTACTGACCGGTACCGGGCTGGGATTGGACTGAACTACGGTCTACTGACCGGCACCGGGCTGGGATTGGACTGAACTACGGTCTACTGACCGGCACCGGGCTGGGATTGGACCGAACTACGGACTACTGACCGGCACCGGGCTGGGATTGGACTGAACTACGGTCTACTGACCGGCACCGGGCTGGGATTGGACTGAACTACGGTCTACTGACCGGCACCGGGCTGGGATTGGACCGAACTACGGACTACTGACCGGCACCGGGCTGGGATTGGACTGAACTACGGTCTACTGACCGGCACCGGGCTGGGATTGGACCGAACTACGGTCTACTGACCGGCACCGGGCTGGGATTGGACCGAACTACGGTCTACTGACCGGTACCGGGCTGGGATTGGACCGGTACCGGGCTGGGATTGGACCGAACTACGGTCTACTGACCGGTACCGGGCTGGGATTGGGCCGGTACCGGGCTGGGATTGGACCGAACTACGGTCTACTGACCGGTACCGGGCTGGGATTGGACCGGTACCGGGCTGGGATTGGACCGAACTACGGTCTACTGACCGGTACCGGGCTGGGATTGGGCCGGTACCGGGCTGGGATTGGACTGAACTACGGTCTACTGACCGGCACCGGGCTGGGATTGGACCGAACTACGGTCTACTGACCGGTACCGGGCTGGGATTGGACCGGTACCGGGCTGGGATTGGACCGAACTACGGTCTACTGACCGGTGCCGGGCTGGGATTGGACCGAACTACGGTCTACTGACCGGTACCGGGCTGGGATTGGACCGAGCTACTGTCTACTGACTGGTACCGGGCTGGGATTGGACCGAACTACGGTCTACTGACTGGTACCGGGCTGGGATTGGACCGAGCTACTGTCTACTGACTGGTACCGGGCTGGGATTGGACCGAACTACGGTCTACTGACCGGTACCGGGCTGGGATTGGACCGAACTACGGTCTACTGACTGGTACCGGGCTGGGATTGGACCGAACTATGGTCTACTGGCAGGTACCGGTCTGGTTTCTCACTAAATCCTGTCTTGTGTTCCTCCAGGGCTGTGCCTCCTGGAAGTGGTATTTTCCGTTCCATTACGCTCCGTTTGCCTCAGATTTCAAAGACATCAAGGAGATGTTCTCAGACTTTGAGAAGGACACCAAGCCGGTGAGGAAGCTTTGGCCCTTAGGGGTCCATAAAGCCGGCGGGTCGACGGGTTCTGACTCATTCTGTCTGATGTTCTGTTCAGTTTAAGCCTTTGGAGCAGCTGATGGGCGTGTTTCCTGCCGCCAGCGGTAACTTCCTGCCGCCATCATGGAGGAACCTGATGATGAGTGCGGTGAGTTGCATGATGCAGAGAATCAGGTGACGTACTGCCAGGTCTTTCAGGTCCTTTACCTGTTGATGTGTTGCAGGAATCCTCCATCATCGATTTCTACCCCGATGACTTCGCCATCGACCTGAACGGGAAGAAATACGCCTGGCAGGGTGAGTCTCTGTTTCTAAACAAAGTTACTTTAAATGATAGACAGGTCGGTTTTCCGGACAGGTCGGTTTTCCGGTTTGTGTTTCTAAAATCAGACTGTTTCTTTCAGTTTTTCAAAACATCTGACTTTGAGAATCACAGAAACTAAATTTCTCTCGTGGTTTTGCTGGGACCCAAAATGTTAGAATTCTTTAGAACAAAAATCCAGAAACTTGAGACAATTTTTCTTCATTTGCCCGAAACCGGACGGGGAAAAAAGGTTATACGCAAATACGGACTCGCGTTCCCGTCAAGAACACAGGAAAGTATCGACTTGGCGAGAACGCGAGCACGCAGCATAGATATGGATCAATTGGAACACAAGCGTACTGATGACATCACCACACGCCCAGCTCATCTAGAGCTGTATTTCACCTCCTGTTATTAATGGTCTCTAGATGATAATAAATTAAGACTTCAGAGTTTTTGCAGGAATAACAATGAACACAGTCAGATAAACAGAAATCAAATGAACATTTTGCCAAATAAAGCTGCAGAAGGGCCAACGTTAGCCCTGGCTGCTGCAGACGTCTGCTAACGTTAGCCCTGGCTGCTGCAGACGTCTGCTAACGTTAGCCCTGGCTGCTGCAGACGTCTGCTAACGTTGGCCCTGGCTGCTGCAGACGTCTGCTAACGTTAGCCCTGGCTGCTGCAGACGTCTGCTAACGTTAGCCCTGGCTGCTGCAGACGTCTGCTAACGTTAGCCCTGGCTGCTGCAGACGTCTGCTAACGTTAGCCCTGGCTGCTGCAGACGTCTGCTAACGTTAGCCCTGGCTGCTGCAGACGTCTGCTAACGTTAGCCCTGGCTGCTGCGAACGGGCCAACGTTAGCCCTGGCTGCTGCGGACGGGCCAACGTTAGCCCTGGCTGCTGCTGACGGGCCAACGTTAGCCCTGGCTGCTGCGGACGGGCCAATGTTAGCCCTGGCTGCTGCGGACGGGCCAACGTTAGCCCTGGCTGCTGCAGACGTCTGCTAACGTTAGCCCTGGCTGCTGCGAACGGGCCAACGTTAGCCCTGGCTGCTGCGGACGGGCCAACGTTAGCCCTGGCTGCTGCGGACGGGCCAACGTTAGCCCTGGCTGCTGCTGACGGGCCAACGTTAGCCCTGGCTGCTGCTGACGGGCCAACGTTAGCCCTGGCTGCTGCGGACGGGCCAACGTTAGCCCTGGCTGCTGCTGACGGGCCAACGTTAGCCCTGGCTGCTGCGGACGGGCCAACGTTAGCCCTGGCTGCTGCTGACGGGCCAACGTTAGCCCTGGCTGCTGCTGACGGGCCAACGTTAGCCCTGGCTGCTGCGGACGGGCCAACGTTAGCCCTGGCTGCTAGTTATATCTGTTAATTTTGTTGGATCAATTAACTATTTTCAACGTTTAAAGAACCAAATGATCCGATTGAGAATAGTCCTGTTTTTCTTCTGTTTCAGGAGTGGCCTTGCTGCCGTTTGTAGATGAACGTCGTCTGAGGGCGGCTCTGGCTGAAGTTTATCCAGACCTCACGCCTGATGAAAGTAAGACCAGCTGAGACTCTGGGCTTTTTAAAACTCTGTTTATGCAGAACTTTGGATTAATTCCTGCATGGATTGAAGCATTTTGTGTGAAATTCAGTGGGTGATCCATTTAAACCTGGAGCAATGCCTCCTGCTCCAGGTCAACCACTCCTAGTTCTGCATCAACGGTTTCTGGATGGAAACCAAATGGTCCAGTTCACCGTTCGATTCCACCTCAGCCGCTGTCATGTTCTGGTTTGGGTTCTTCCGGACCTCTGGGTCACTCTCAGACGCTGACATGTTTTTTCTGTGTTGCAGTGAGGAGGAACAGTTTGGGGAGCGACGTCCTGTTTCTGGGAAAGTCTCATCCTCTCTTTGACTTCATCCATGAGCTGTACCGCACAGAAACCCATGAGGTAACAGACTGCCTCACCTTTAGCCTCCATATCTGGAGAACATGGACGCTCCATCATTGAATGAGCCCAGCGGCTGCAGGGATGCTGCTGAATCAGAAGCTTCACTACATTCTGTGTTTAGATTTCTAGGCTGTAGGGTATCGATGCAGCTGTCTGTTTATGAGCACCGAGGAGCTTTTCCAGGTCATCCAAACCAACTGTAGTTTGCTCTCTTCTAGGGGACCGTGGTCCCTGCTGAGCTCTGCCACGGGATCCAAGGAACTCTGACCCTCGACGAGGATCCGATCCTCCCAGACGAGTAAGAACCCTCTGCTTCATCTGGCTTTCTCTCTGTATTCCTGTCATAATCTGACCCTTAATCTGGTTTCTGCTCCTCAGGACGGTGAAGTCGCCCATCCCGATGCTGCGGGACATTTCACACAACAGCTCCATCAAGTGAGTGAACCTTTGAAGACACCTGGAGCTGCTTTTTCCCTGCTGTTATAGGACTAAAGAAAAACTAAAACAATGTGAAACAGCTGGACTGCGCTGCTGTCAGCATATATTCAGTACAACTAGAGTAGAACGTAGGATAATCCCGCACATCCTGGACATGTTGAGGTGTTTTTACCTTACGGGCGGCGCTGCAGAGCCTCTTTATGGAGGATGTAGAAAATGTTTGGTTTTTCTCCTCCTGAACGGCGTCTGTTTGTCCTTCCAGTGTGAAGTTCAAGGATCCTCAGTTCGCTGAAGGCTTCGTCTTCAAAGCGGTGCTGCTGCCTGGAGCCAAGTAAGAACACGACCTCCGTTTGAATGTTTGAGAATCGGGTTCAACGGGTTCTGTTGGATTTATTTCTTCTTTTTTTTTGTCTCAAAATGTTTGGGAATTAGTTTTTTTTCTGCTCGATTGTATCAAACCTTTCACTTTAATTTGGTTCTACAGTTCTGACCCGCTCATTATAAATGGACCGCTCTATTCTGGACATTCCAGGGTCCAGTTCTTCGCAGCTGTTTTTTGTTTTTAATGCTTCATGACTTCAGTTTAAACATTTTGATTCATTTATCGGTTAATCCAGCCGTTCCCAGGATATGAATGTCTGAGTTGAACTCTTGTTTTCCAGGATGCCCAATAAGGTGCTGAAACCAGAGGACTTTGAGCGGGGAAACCGGGGCTCCTGGAGACCCCAGCTGGGCTTCAACCCCAACAGACAGCAAGCTCACCTGGACCAGTCAGGCTTCAGAGCTCTGAGGTGAGTCACAGATTGTTCCTCACTTGGACGACCTTCAGTACAGAAGAACCTGCATGTGAGGCTCTAAAGGTCTGTTGGGTCGGGTGCCGGAGGGACGCCTAGCTCCTTTCCAGCTCAGATCTCCGTATTGATCAACACTTTACTGCACCCAGCAGCAGCTCAGAAAAAGGCCAGAAACCTTCATTCAGCCTTGAATCTCCTCACTTTCTCTCATAAAAAAAAGAAATTTTTCTCAGATTTTAACCTAGAACATCTTTTTCAGAAAGTGAAGAAAAAATCCATTAAAGTAGGACCACCATCTCCAATAACCATTTAGACTAGAATAAAATTAAAGATATATATAAGGATTTTTAGTAGTTTCTCTTTGGTCCCACAGATTTGAACAATTTCCTGCATTAATAGCAGCATCAATCTATAGAAAAAACCTATTTCTAAGATTTAAAGAAAGCAGAGCAGTCCGAATGCTACGACCGAGTATTAGGGCCAGGTTAGGGATTTGTTTTAATTATTAGAATAAAGTCGTAACACTGCGAGAATAAAGTCGTAACATTGCGAGAATAAAGTCGTAACACTGCGAGAATAAAGTCGTAACACTGCGAGAATAAAGTCGTAACACTGCGAGAATAAAGTCGTAACACTGCGAGAATAAAGTCGTAACACTGCGAGAATAAAGTCGTAACACTGCGAGAATAAAGTCGTAACACTGCGAGAATAAAGTCGTAACACTGCGAGAATAAAGTCGTAACACTGCGAGAATAAAGTCGTAACATTACGAGAATGAAGTCATCATACAACAACCCTTTTCAGAAAGAAAGCTTGGAGCTCCGCCCAGCAGATGATGGCCGACCAGCTCCACCAATCAGCAACCAGTTTGATGCTGCTGCTAAAAGATTTCCTGATTTGTCAAACTGATGCTAAAGTAGAACTTCACATGATGCTCCACATTCCTCATTTTAGGAAATAAACTACGACTTTAATCTCGTAATCTGCGACTTTATTCTCGTAATCTGTGACTTTATTCTCGTAGTATTGCGACTTTAATCTCGTAATATTGCGACTTAATTCTCGTAATATTGTGACTTTATTCTCCTAGTATTGTGACTTTGATCTCGTAATGTTACGACTTTATTCTCGTATTTCCACTTTTTTCTCGTAATATTGCAACTTTATACTCATAGTATTGCAACTTTAATCTTGTAATATTGTAACTTTATTCTTGTAGTATTGCCTCTTTATTCTCCTAATATTGCAACTTTATTCTCGTTATATTGCGACTTTATTCTCGTAATATTGTGACTTTATTCTCCTAGTATTGTGACTTTATTCTCGTAATGTTACGACTTTATTCTCGTAGTATTTCCACTTTTTTCTCATAATATTGCAACTTTATACTCATAGTATTGCGACTTTAATCTCGTAATATTGCGACTTTAATCTCGTAGTATTGCGACTTTATTCTCGTAGTATTGCCACTTTATTCTCGTAGTATTGCCACTTTAATCTCGTAATATTGCGACTTTAATCTCGTAATATTACGACTTTAATCTCGTAATATTGCGACTTTAATCTCGTAATATTGCGACTTTAATCTCGTAATATTGCGACTTTATTCTCGTAATGTTATGACTGTATTCTCGTAACAGAAGAATGATCCCAGCTAATATAGCAAAGCTGCTCTCTGCATTGAACACAGGAGCATCAGACGCATCTGGACTCACTTAACTGGACGTCTGACCTTAATGTGCATCAGAGATGAAGCAGCAGAAGCTTCTTTGCTGCTGAAAGCTCAGTGTGAACGAAGTTCATGGTTGCAGGACTTCACTGTTTCTGGTGGAAGAATTCCTCCTTCTCATTCATTGATCTGCTGCAACTTTCTCTCTTTCCTACTGAGTGGAAGCAAACCCATTTTATCCGCATTACTGCCACCTAAAGGTCTGGAGGGAGAAAGTCGGTGTATGAAGCAAATACAATCACTCGGCCATTCCTCCTTCAGATCAGACATTAAATATTCTGCCGTGAGAATTGAATTGAATAATTTATTAATCCCTGAAAAGAAATTCAGGCATTTAAATACTAATTATTTATTAGTATCTAATCAGAAGGAAGACGAGGTCAGGCTCTACAAGCAAACCGTTAACATAGTGGTTCATTAGTTTAGCAGATTTCTTTCCACATGTAAAGATTAATTAATTGTAAGCATGTAAACTGGGGAAAACATAAAACTAAGCTGCCTTGTTTCTCATTTCTAAATGACGTTCCTGTTAAAGATGTCCTGATTCTAGCTAATATCAGGCGTCCCTGACGTCCTGCGCCGGTCTCAGCAGAACATCTCTTGATGTTTGGTTCTGGGTGTGAAAGAGGACCTGTTGTCCTGTAATCAGCGGCTAAGCTGGAGCTCCTCCATCAGCCAGCTGTGATTACCATCCCAGCTCATTATCCTCATCAAGCAAATGGCGCTGATTGAACATCTGGATCAGTCTGACTGTCGGGGAGGTAATTAAGCTCGGCGCCGTCTGCTGATCCAGGTCAGGATTGCAGCTGATGGGGGCGAACCCACAGCTGCTCAGAGGTCTGAGTCTCATTTAGTTTGGAATTGGTAACCGGGTCAGAGTTTCCGGGTTTTGTTTTGGAGAAGCTGAAGTTCTGTTTGGTCCAAAGAGGATTTTAAACCATCTTTTCTGCTCCTCCAGTCACGGTCTGAACCGGAACCAGCAGTTTGGAGGACAGTACAGCAACGCGCCGCCTCCCAGCAGCTACAACCAGGGGAGCTACAGCCGTCCTGCTCACAGCGCCGGCCACCAGCAGTTCCAACGTAAGACTCCGCCTCCTGCTCCCTGAGCCGGGTCAGAACGGACCGCTGAGTCCGATCAGACCGCTTAGGGCAGGCAGAACGGTTCGCTCTGAATCTATCCTTCTCCTAGCAGCAACCAATGTAGAGTTTGGACATCAACTCTGCTCAGAACCTCACTGTTCATTACCTGACTGTCTGACCGGAAGGCTCCACTAGGGGGCGCTCCTCTGAGCTGGTCATGCTTAGGAGCTGGTTGGTAGGATGTTGCAGATAAAGATGCTCATAATACAACCAGACGTCCAACCTTACAGAGATCAGTCTTTTAAAGGTAACCGTGAGACACAACTATACCGTATGAAGAGATGTTTTCAAAAGAAAACTTGCAGTTTGGCTGCAGGTTCCGGGTGTCAAAGGGTCCGATTGGCTGCCGGTTCTAATTGGCTGTGGGTTCCGGGTGTCAAAGGGTCCGATTGGCTGCGGGTTCCGATTGGGTGTCAAAGGGTCCGATTGGCTGCCGGTTCCAATTGGCTGCGGGTTCCGGGTTTCAAAGGGTCCGATTGGCTGCGGGTTCCGATTGGGTGTCAAAGGGTCCGATTGGCTGCCGGTTCCAATTGGCTGCGGGTTCCGGGTTTCAAAGGGTCCGATTGGCTGCGGGTTCCAATTGGCTGCGGGTTCCGGGTGTTAAAGGGTCCGATTGGCTGCGGGTTCCGGGTTTCAAAGGGTCCGATTGGCTGCGGGTTCTAGGTGTCAAAGAGTCCTATTGGGTGTTAAAGGGTCCGATTGGCTGCAGGTTCCAATTGGCTGCGGGTTCCAATTGGCTGCGGGTTCCAATTGGCTGCGGGTTCCAATTGGCTGCGGGTTCCGGGTTTCAAAGGGTCCGATTGGGTGTTAAAGGGTCCGATTGGCTGCAGGTTCCAATTGGCTGCAGGTTCCAATTGGCTGCGGGTTGCAATTGGCTGCGGGTTCCAATTGGCTGCGGGTTCCGGGTGTCAAAGGGTCCGATTGGCTGCGGGTTCCGATTGGGTGTCAAAGGGTCCGATTGGCTGCCGGTTCCAATTGGCTGCGGGTTCCGGGTGTTAAAGGGTCCGATTGGCTGCGGGTTCCGGGTTTCAAAGGGTCCGATTGGCTGCGGGTTCCAATTGGCTGCGGGTTCCGGGTGTTAAAGGGTCCGATTGGCTGCGGGTTCCGGGTTTCAAAGGGTCCGATTGGCTGCGGGTTCTAGGTGTCAAAGAGTCCTATTGGGTGTTAAAGGGTCCGATTGGCTGCCGGTTCCAATTGGCTGCGGGTTCCGGGTGTTAAAGGGTCCGATTGGCTGCGGGTTCCGGGTTTCAAAGGGTCCGATTGGCTGCGGGTTCCAATTGGCTGCGGGTTCCGGGTGTTAAAGGGTCCGATTGGCTGCGGGTTCCGGGTTTCAAAGGGTCCGATTGGCTGCGGGTTCTAGGTGTCAAAGAGTCCTATTGGGTGTTAAAGGGTCCGATTGGCTGCGGGTTCCGGGTTTCAAAGGGTCCGATTGGCTGCGGGTTCCAATTGGCTGCGGGTTCCGGGTGTTAAAGGGTCCGATTGGCTGCGGGTTCCGGGTTTCAAAGGGTCCGATTGGCTGCGGGTTCTAGGTGTCAAAGAGTCCTATTGGGTGTTAAAGGGTCCGATTGGCTGCAGGTTCCAATTGGCTGCAGGTTCCAATTGGCTGCGGGTTCCAATTGGCTGCGGGTTCCAATTGGCTGCGGGTTCCGGGTGTTAAAGGGTCCGATTGGCTGCGGGTTCCGGGTTTCAAAGGGTCCGATTGGCTGCGGGTTCTAGGTGTCAAAGAGTCCTATTGGGTGTTAAAGGGTCCGATTGGCTGCAGGTTCCAATTGGCTGCAGGTTCCAATTGGCTTTGGGTTCCGGGTTTCAAAGGGTCCGATTGGGTGTCAAAGGTTCCGATTGGCAGTGCTTCCGTTAGACCACGCCCTGGCCGGCCCTTCTGGGTGAAACTGAGCCCAGATCAGCGGTACTGAGGAATGTGCTTGGAGTTGAGTGGACCTTTGTCCTGCTCCCTGGGGTGGGAGGAGGGGTCCGATTAGTGCTGTGGGGCCCGAGCTGTAATGAGACGGTGGAGTGGGCTGCTGGCCCCGGGGCCCCTGATAAAAGCATCCTAACTGATGGGGGGGGTGAAGCTGAAGTTAACGTCTCCTGCTGGGACGGGTCAACATGCAGCCCTGGACCATTTCCTTCTTTCCTTCCTTCTTTCCTTCCTTCCTTCCTTCCTTCCTTCCTTCCTTCCTTCCATTTTCTTATTTCCTCTCCTTTCAGTCTTTCCTTTCCTTCATTCTTTCGATTCTTCCTTTCTTCCATCATCTCCTCCTTTTCTTTCTTTCCTTCCTTCCTCCTTAAAAATTCTGCTGATCTAAAAACAGTATTTTGTGATTAACTTTAGGTCCATATCTGCCTCTAGGAGAACCAGCAGAATCGGATCCCTCTCATGGACGGAGCTCGGTACGGTTCTGGTTCTGGTTCTGTTCAGTGAGCAGAGGCGGGTCAGGGAGGAGCTGATCTAAGCGAACAGTTCTATAGAACCTGCGATGTTCTAGCAGCCGCTGCGTCTTTAGAGCTCCGTCCTTTGTCGGGGGGGTTCAGATGTTCATTAAGGAGATTGACAGGTGTCCACTTGTCTCCTTGTCCTCTTGTCCTCGGCCCTTTGAGCGGCCCGGGAAGAAGAGCCGAGTGTTCTGTGCTCATAATTGGACTCTGACTGGGTGGTCCACTTCAGGAGATCATCCAGCAGGAAGACAATGTCCCAGCAGAGTGACCGACCCAGGAGACCCATCCTCCAGGGGGACGGGACCAGAACCGAGCAGAACCGCCCGCTCTGGTCCAAGCTTAGAACTGGATCTCGGTAGAGAGGTTGGTGGTACCAGAAGTCCTGGTGAGCCTGGACACATTCTGACAGTCGTCTGAGACGGCGCCGGTCCTTCTGAGTCGGCCGGTTCTGACGGGTTTCTTTGTTCTGCAGGGTTCTGGTTCTGGGCGGGTTAGAGGTTCTATTAGCTTAGTTTCTTAGTTTCCCTCTGACCCGTTTTAGGCGCCCTTCACCCCCTGAGCTGAGCTACTTGAGGCGCCCGCCCCGTAAACAAACGCTTCTGCTGCTCGCAGCTGGTCATCGCCGTGGCAACAGTTTCTTTGTGAAGTGCTGCAGGGACGGATTGGAGCCACTTGAGCCTCCAACAATGCGGCGCGCTGAATGCTTCCTTCATTTTCAGAACAAAAACGGCTAATTTGGCGCTGCCCCCCTCCCGGGGCCCGGCCCGGGGCCCGTTGGGAGAGTCCGACAGCTGATGGTTCAGTTTGCACAAAGATGCAGTTTTCATGTCAGGCTGCACGATTTCCACTTTGAATTCATTTTTTGATAAGAAGAAAAACCCAAACGTCCCCAGAACCGGTTCTGACCCTGTTCTTTGTTCCCTGCAGATTCCAGGCAGAACGCCGCGCCGCCGCCCTCCTACGGCGCCGTGCCGCCCCCGTTTCCCAGGTGAGTCCGCTGCCTCCAGCATGGGAACCAAAGCTCCCAGTTCATCCTGCAGGACCCGGTTCTGATCCGATGCTCTGCATCCGTCATCGATGCAGCTGAATTATCGATGATGTCATCACAACTTTTTTCTGCTTTTAACAGGAAGTTTAAAAAAAGGTGTTTTTACTTTAAACTCTAAACATCTGCGACTCTGGCCCGGTCCGGCCCGGTCCGGGTCTGCCTCTGGCTGCAGAACCAGTTTCAGTGAAGGAGGTTTGCTTAGCTTAATGAGGCGTCACTAACGCCGCTGCCTCAGATGGAGGTCGTCGGCCCCTCGGGGCCTTAATCAGAATCCCTCGGGGCCCATTGTGCTGCGGTGGCCTCGGGTCGGGCCTTATTAGCCGTAGCTGAAACAGTTTCTTTATTGGCTCAGAACTCGGCCTCTGAGTGGGGATTATGGCGTCCGATCCGATCGGGCCGCTGCCGGCCGGGTGTGACATGGTTCCGTAATGAGGGATGGGATTCTGCTCCGCCGACGTTCCCGTCTGATCCGGAAGCAGTTCAGGCAGTAGGATGACTTTCTGAAGCCCGAAGGCCCGGTGGGTCCAGAACCGCTGAGACAGAATGATCCGAGCTCAGAAACTTTCCCCAGATTTCCTGAACTTCAGGAAAGGTTCTGTGCAGCAGGATCCGGATGATCCGGATCAGGGATGGAGTTCAGATCGGAGCCTTCCGGAGTTCTGAGAACGGAAGTTTTAAGTTTCCTCGAGACTCTGAGAAAAATGTGACCCAGAATTTCCTTCTAATTCATTCTGGGCCAACGACCCGACCCGGTTTGGGAACCCATACAGACCGAAACGGTACCGGATCCGGGAGCCCCGTTCCGTTAAGGTTGAAGAAGCTCCCACTGAAGGTCGATGGAGGATCTATGATGCTGTGGGCCTGATCCTCCAGAACCTCTGGATGAAAGCAGGTCACTGTAAAAGGTTCTGATGACCCAGAACCTGGGAGTTTGGGTCATCTGGAGAGAAAAGGACCGAGGTGACTGGGACCGGTCCGGTTTGTTTGGTTTTTATTTTAATAAATGAATTTCTTCCCTTGTTTCCGTCTGTTCCTGCATTAAAGGAACCTGGATCGGGTCAGAACCACTGATTCTGGGAAGGCTGAGGGTTTGGACCAGATGTTCTGGGTCTCAGAACCTCCGGCTGTTAACGGGTCAAACCTCTGTGTCCCCAGGCAGCAGCAGTACCGAGGCGGGGGCCACTCTGGGGGCCACGGCTGGGACCGGGCCCTCCAGGCTCAGCCGTCTGCGTACCAGCAGAACCTGAGCCGTGGCGGAGCGGCGCCGGGCGGCTACCAGCAGCGCTACGATCAGCGCCGGGACGACTGGAGCGATCGCCGTGGCAACCGGGGCCAGCGGCAGCAGCATCAGGTAAACCGAGAGCTGCTGGTTCTGAACAATGACCCGGTTCTCCTCACACTGTCTTACATGATCCAGTTTCACCAGAACCACGAAACTCGAGTTCATCTGAACTTTCATTTAAATATATAGAAACATTCAAATGTAAGAAAATCTAAAATAAATAAGAACCGGTTTGGTTGGTCCAAATCAGACTGGACAATCAGAACCGGTTTGGTTGATCCAAATAGGACTGGACAATCAGAACTGGTTTGGTTGATCCAAATAGGACTGGACAATCAGAACTGGTTTGGTTGATCCAAATAGGACTGGACAGCCAGAACCGGTTTGGTTGGTCCAAATTGGACTGGACAATCTGAACCGGTTTGGTTGGTCCAAATTGGACTGGACAATCTGAACCGGTTTGGTTGGTCCAAATTGGACCGGACAGCCGGAACCAGTTTGGTTGGTCCAAATTGGACTGGACAGCCAGAACCGGTTTGGTTGGTCCAAATTGGACTGGACAATCGGAACCGGTTTGGTTGGTCCAAATTGGACTGGACAATCGAACCGGTTTGGTTGGTCCAAATCAGACTAAATGGGACGGACAGTCGGAACCGGTTTGGTTTGGGCCGGATGATCAGAACCATCACAGCAAATCAAGTTCCCAATGAATGAGTTCAGGTTTCGTATTTATTGCTTCTTCCAAACAGAAAATTCCATCATTTTCTGGATTTATCAGATTTTAAATATTTATTTTTTTTCTACCAGAGAATAAGAAAAAATATTTAGATTTGAAATAAAAAATAATTAAAAAAACCTAAAGTTGAAACTTATTTTTTTTTATCATTTTGAACAATTAAATTGTTTTAATAAAAACAGAAACTTGATTGTTTTCACAGCAGAAACATTTGATGTTATTTTAAGGAAAAATAAAAATGGTGTGAAATTATCTGAACGTTTTAAATCTTTAATTTTATTTTATTTTTCCCCAGAACTTCCCATCCAGCAGAGGCTACCCTCCTCCTCCTCCCTCCCAGCGGTACCACTGGAATTAGAACCATGGGTCGGTTCAGGAAATCTTCGGGACGGGAACATTTTTTTAATCCTTTTTTCGTTCACTGTAAAATATTTTCCCTTTTTAAAACCAACTTGTGTAACTTGTGCCGTTTTTTGAAGTTTTATTTCATGAATTCTGTTAAATTTGTTTCCTGGCTGATGGAGTAAAAAAAAAATCCAGATGTTTGATTCTGAGAGAGAAATTCTCCTATTAAAAAATAAAAATTTAAATGAAACAAATGATGCCTGAATAAAATTTGTCTCGATTTTTTTTTATTTTTAGATTAAATTTTTCGAAACAAATTAAGTTATTTTTATTTGAAGGTTAACACAAAAAAAAAAAATCTTCATGGAATATTTGTGAAGGAAAGAAAGTCACGTTTAAAATGAGAATCCACTCAGTTCTGGATCCAGAACCTTCTGGACTAGCTTGTTCCGGTTCTGTTCCTAAATTCTCGGCACTGACCTGGGATCAGTTCTGGATGCTGCTCCATCCGAAAAACAGCCTGCTTCCCTTAAACACTGCATCCCTTTAAATCCAGAAGAAAGTTCGGTTCTGATTGGGTTTATTTTTCCTCCGAACCGCAAAGAAATCAAAGTTTTACGCATGAAAAGCGCAAACCGGGCCGTTCCCCCTCCTGTAATCCTCAGTCTGGACTGTTCTCCGGTTTTTTCTGGTTCTACCAAGTTCGGCCGTACAGTAAATTGGACCCGAGCATGCTGTTGGTGTACTCGATGAGCGCCGCGTCCGTCTGCGCCATGTTGATGTGCGCCTGCAGGCCGAGCGGCGGGCTGGGAGACGCGTCCTCCAGCTCCTCTGTGGACGACAACTGGTTCTGGACCTGCTCGCTCTGCGACACCGCGTCGGCCGAACCGCCCTGTCGGGTCACCGCCTGGTTCGGTTCGCTTCTGCAGCTCTTGTTGGTTTTGGAGAAAATCGGGGAACCGGAGGAGGAGCGGCGGGAGGCCGCGCACAGCCCGCCGGCCTCCTGCTGCTGCTGCTGGGTGGCCTTGTCCTTGGCCTGCCGCTTCAGCTTGTAGCGGTGGTTCTGGAACCAGATCTTGACCTGGTTCGGGGTGAGGTGGATGAGGCCGGCCAGGTGCTCCCTCTCCGGGGCGGACAGGTACTTCTGCTGCTTGAAGCGCCGCTCCAGCTCGAACACCTGAGCCTGAGAGAAGAGGACGCGCCGCTTCCTGCGCGGCGCGGCGTGGAGCGTCACCACGGACTTAGAGCCGGGCTCCATCCCGGGCAGACCCCCCACCATCCCGGGGATGTTGGCGGCGCCGGGAGCGCCCATCAGCCTGGAGACTTTAGTTAGAAACAGGGAAAAAAAAGAAAAAGTTCCACATTTTAACCATAAATGTTTTTATTTGATCGAATTAAAATTTGTTTAAACGAAAAGCATTTTAATTAAAATAAAAAAATTATAATTAACCAATAAAAAAATCGAATTAAAAAAGTTATAGTTAAGATGAAAAAACAAAAATTAAAAAACTAAAAGTTTAAATCGGTTAAAAAAAATAAAACATTTTAATGGAGGTTAGTTTGGGGGAAACTATGCAAACTGCAGCCGGACTCACTGCTCTGGTAGCGGGGCTCCGGGCTGCTGTACCAGGCCGCCGCCCCGCCGCTCCGCACCGTCTCCTGGTAGGACGGCAGCTCCCCGCCGCTGCAGAAGCCTCCCACGGCCCCGGAGAACTGCGGCACTGCGTGGGGGACGTGGTAGGCCGCTCCGTGTCCCAGAGCTGCTGAGGAAGAGGACAGATGGTGGTGATGATGGTGCAGGTGAGGCTGGTGCTGCTGGGGCCCCTGCGGCTGCCGGTAGGCTCCCAGCGGGGCCCCCAGGCTGCCTGCTGCGGGCTCCATCCCTCCGAACCGGCGGCAAGTTTCCTCCATTGGACTCAGGATGTCTGTGACTGAGAAGGGGGTGGAGATCTTTGGGCTAAAGGACATGGCTCGTCCTCCCGGTGCCCTGCAGGTCGGTCCGGCCCAGTTCTCTGTTGGATAGAACCCGTTTGGTTTTGCGCGTCCTCCCTCCTCTGGTGCTGGGAAGAAGTCCATCTGGGGACCGGAGGGCCTTGGATCCACCGGGAGGAGGGGGGGCGGGGCGAAGCGGAGTGACGGAGAAAAGAGGAAAGGTTCGGGTTTTAATCTTCAGAACTTTCTCATCATTCTTTCCTGCAGCTTGGATGAGAAAAGCTGCAGATTTGCAGCAGGAGGCAGAAAATAAAGCTGATCGAAGCTGATCCGGTTCGGTTCCTAAGAACGAATCATTTTCAGGACTCCAACAGCTCATCCGAACCGGCAGCTCCAATAAGTTCTGCTGCAGAACAGGTGAACTGGTTCTCCTCGGAGGTGCGGATCTTTGTTCCGGTTCTTTTAGAACCCGAAAAGATTTTTTTTTACTTGTATTAAATCTATTCAGAACAAATTAAACTCTTTATCTTTATAAATGCATCGAACAGCTGTTTGGTTTTTCTAATATCGAAATTAAATAATTTTTTTTTTTTTTTTTTTACAGCAGATAATAACAATAAATGCTTTCCGTTTTAATTGAACATATTGTTGATGAAGATTCTCAGTCATCCAGGTTGTAGTCGGTCCGTAAAAATTTAAAAAGAAAATTTAAAACTTTTACGAATTTAACATATTCAATTAATTGTGAAAATAATCGAACAACATTTTGTTGAAAATTAAAGTTTAAAGTAACAAAAAGATTTTAGAGAATAAACTTTTTTTCAGGTTTTTTATTTCGGCCTTCATCCGGTTTCATTTTTCAGAAATGGGTTTTATTTTTTTGTTTTGTTTGTTTCAAATATTTCAAATCTTAGATCTTGGTTTTTATAATCGGCGTGCGCGCGCTCCAATCAATCAAACTTAATAAAAAAAACGATTAAATAATTTATCTGCACCAGAATGAGAGCAGAAAAAATAAAAGGAAATTAATATTTCACAAAAATAAAAATGACTGAAAACGCGGCTGGTTGCGGGTTTTTTCAGCCAGTCACGTGCCGACCCGTCCGACGCCGTTTGAGGCGCCGCGGGGTCGCGTGGCCTGCGGACAGCTGCGCTCCAAATGATCTACTTTTTAATTTATATGAACTAAACGGTTAGAACCAAACCGCGACAGGTTCTGCGAAATTATTTTATTTATTTATTTATTTTTACTTTAATTCATTTTCTTAGTGGAAATTAGTTTAAAAGCTGAAATACACTGAAATAAATGATTTATATTTAAATCTGGTTCAGCTTTATTAATAAAACATTTATTTCGTTGCGTCTTTGTTTATTTGCAGAGGAAAGAAAAATAAGGAAGAAAAAGAAATAAGGAAAAAAAGGAATAAAATCAGAGGCCAACATGTTTAAAGAGTCTGAAGTATTTCATCCTGGGCTGCACTTAGGAGGGGCGCATGGGGGGAGGGGCCCGGATTACTTTTATTATATATTTTTTTATTATTGCAAGTTTCAGAATCAAAGCAGTTTAGTTTTTTTTCTTTTGTGTTTTAAGAAGCTTCTTGTTTGGTTGCAGCAGCTGAGGGGCCCCAGAGAGGAAGACATTTAGCTGGATGTTTCTGCTCAGAGCCGGAGGGCCGATTAACTAACCAGGAACATGAGTGAGTCAGGGGCCCAGAACCTCCGAACATCAGGGGCCCAGCACCTCCGAACATCAGGGGCCCAGAACCTCCAAACGTCAGGGGCCCAGAACCTCTGAAAATTAGGGGCCCAAAATCTCTCAAAATTAGGGGCCCAGAACCTCCGAACATCAGGGGCCCAGAAACTCTGAAAATTAGGGGCCCAAAATCTCTCAAAATTAGGGTCCCAGAACCTCCAAACGTCAGGGGCCCAGAACCTCTGAAAATTAGGGTCCCAGAACCTCCAAACGTCAGGGGCCCAGAACCTCTGAAAATTAGGGGCCCAAAATCTCTCAAAATTAGGGGCCCAGAACCTCCGAACATCAGGGGCCCAGAAACTCTGAAAATTAGGGGCCCAAAATCTCTCAAAATTAGGGGCCCAGAACCTCCGAATGTCAGGGGCCCAGAACCCCAAAGTTGAGACCACACCTCTGCTAAAACAGTCCAGCCTGCAGAGTTAGTTTCTGAGTCAGAACCTCATTAGAACCTCATTAGAACCTCTGATGTAAAACTGGAACAAACCAGGAGCCTTCCCACACCTCAGGACCGGTTCCTGCATTAACGCTGCCCTGGGCAAAGTCCCCCCTACGTCCCCCACAGCCTGAATCACCTGAACAAACTTTTGAACATTTTGATTTTTTTATTTGATCTATTTATGTAATTTAAATTTTTTGTGCTTTCAAAAATAAAACAAAGGTTCTGTGAATCTCAGATTTGGTTTTAATAATCTAGTTTAGGTTCGACCAATCTCTGTGTTTGGGTTAGGCTTGTTTTCTTAAACTGCTTTAATGGAGCTAAACACTAGGGGGCGCCACACACATCGCCTGGACATAGCGATAACAATGAGCACTACGCCCAGTCTGTGCCACCCTGGGTGAAGAGCCACATCCGGAAGGTTCTCTGCTCATCAGAGCAGCTGAAACACCAAACTCCAGAAGCTAAATTTTCTCTGCACTCCATTCCACATTTCTTCTCTCTCCCGTCGCTTTAATCCCGGCCCCTTGGAGGAGCATTAGAGCCAAGCAGCTGGGGGCCCCTGAACGGCTCTCCAAAGGCGGCCCATTCCATCGGAGGGGGGGGTTCGATGACCACCTGGCGCCTGGTGAGGAGGAGGAGTTTCCATCCGGGTCAAAGGAGAGAAACGATGCTTCTGAATCTTCCTCCTGTTAACGGGACCCAATCCAGGATCCGGATCTGTGTTTCCATGGAGACGAACAGCTGAATCCTCGCCGAGCTCTGAAAGTGAGGATCAGTTGATCTGTTTGGAGAGCTCCGTGAAGATAAAAATCCATCCCACCTCTTAGCGCTGCAGAGCTCACCGCGCCTCCAACCCTCTGAGCAAATCCAATCTGACCAGAATCAGTTCGGATTTAACAATTCCTCATTTTTCCTTCTTTGTAAACTTTTCCAGAATTTCCCCTCAGAGGAGAAACTAAGGAAATCCTCTCTACTCAATTATCTCGATTTCTAAGGTTTGAATTCACAGAACATGTCATCTGAGGTCACTGCGGAGAAAATTCCATCAGATCGGAAAAAAAGTTTC